TAATCATTTTGTTGTTGCAAGAAAAGTTAATTAGACTAAACCTGTTTTCTGTTCCTTTTTTTTTTCTGGCAGATAAAGTATAAATTAAAATTCTAGTTATGGTAATGTTTGCTTAGTTTAGTTGATTAATTAGAGACGTATTCAACTAGGATTTTAAGGGATTTTAATAAATTTATAAATTTATTGATCTTAATGGAGTTTAATTGATTTCTAAAGATTACATGTGAAATTTTGAGTTAATTACCTCAAATTTTTAAAGATGTGAAATTTGAGAATGTTTAAAATACATTACGATATATTTTCAATTCTTCAACTTTTTGAAATCCTGTAAAATCAATTTTTAATCAAATACACCTAAAATATTATAAAGTGAAAAACTTAATTAAATAAACCTAAACTTTTAGAAAATTACTTAAATTCATGACCCCTAAATTTGTAAAAAGAATTAAAATCCTAAACCCCCTTAGTTTAGTGTTTTGTATTGTGGAGTTAATCAAATGAGAGTGTTGAAGAAGGTCGCCTTTTCGTGACTCCTCGGAGGGATCGGGGGATGGAAGATGAAGACAGGTGGATGTTCTCCAAATTGTGTGGGCCCCTTGGTTGATTATTGAGTCTCCAATTGAGTAAATCCATTTTCTTAGTGGGAATGTCTATGAGGAGAAGAACGAATCCCACGTTGATTGGGAAGAAGAAATTTTATATGAGTTTATAAGTAATTTAGTCTATTCTGTATATTACTAGCTAATTTTATGGTAAAACCTTAGCTACATTAAGGGACTCGCAAATGAAATTATGCATGGACTCTTTACCACCTCATAGTTTAAAATTAATTATTGTGTCAACGTTATAAAGCATACATGGTATCATAGTCTATCGAGTGTCCCACTTCTGAGTTTTGAGAAGAGTTTACATAGAACTTCTCTTTCTAGCTTGTATAATGTCTGTGCGCTTTTCTCAAGTGAAGGTCTTAGTGTGACCCCTGTAAATAAAACTTTAATACTAAATAAGTAATGATTTATTGTGAAGTTTAACCCAATTTATTCTCTTAATATTTTTGCAGTAGAAGTTATATTATTACAAAAAAAAAGGAAAAAAAAAAAACAAATCGTGTTATTTAGAGTTTTAGACCATGCCACCGCTTGTATTGTCAAAAGTTCAAAATCAATTTATTTCTACACTCCTTGTATAAATATTTTTTTTTATATAAAAAATTTAAAAAAAAACCCTAGTTTAATGGTTATTTTACTTTTTAGCATGCACAATTTGAAACAATTCTCCTCTTCAATTAAGTCAATAAAACAAATTTCATCTCCAACTAAGGTCAATATCCCTTTCTAATATTTTTATTTATTGATCTCTTCTTAAAAATTGACTCAATCCTAATGTTGAAAATGCATGTGATTTAATATCCTAATGGATAAGACATTGGGTTTTTATCCATGCTCTTTAGGTTCAAAACTCTCCCTCCCCTGAACTATTATAATCGTTTCGAACCTTTTTTCCTTCCTTAATAATAATAAATTAAAACAAAATCCTAAAGTTGGAAATAATTTGGGTGATCTAAAATAATACTAATATGCATTATTGTTGTACTACATTTCTATCAGCAAGACCTTTCTTTTCTCTGAAGTTAAGAGTATTACATTTCACACACTTTAGGTTTAGACTGACTTGAAAAACAAGTCATGATATTTCAGTTCATTCATATTGCACCATAAGATTTTGAAGTCGTATAAATTCATGTGTTTTTTGTTATTTGATCATTTAGTCTTTCATTTACAGTGGTGACACGGAGAGTGTGGAACCCCACGAGGGGCAACGTGCGAACTACATGTGCACCACATGGACCGAAAAAAAACTCATGAGTTTCGGCTTCTCCCAAATCGTTATTTGTATCCTAAAACACCAACATATAACATATTTTGGCCCCAACTATGAAAGTGTGACTACTATGTCAACTTATAAATAGGTCTCACATATGTCACGTCATCAATTTAACATAGTTATAAATTTATGCAATTACAAAACCTTATTATATGATGTAGAAAATTGAAACTTCGTGGCCATTTTGGAAACCGCCTGAATCCTGGAGGGTGTAAAGTGTAGTTAGCCATATTTTTCACACTTTTATGGAGTCACGTATTTATTTTCAATTAGATATACATGTATATATGATCCTCACATGATAAAACCTCGACGTTAGAAGTCAAAACTTTATGATAAATGAAAATATGACGACGGGAGGACATTAAGCCTAAGGGGGGTGTATTCAATTTAGATTCTTAGAGAGTTTCAAGGAATTAATAATTTCAGGAGTATTCAATTAAGAATTTAAAGGATTTCATAAAAGTTTAGGTGTATTCAATTGAGAATTATACACTTTTTAAATGTCTCTAATTATAATGTATCATCTAAGATCATAAATGGGAGATTCACAACAAGAAAAGGGAAAAGGAAACTATAATCAATGGTCTGTGGAAGAGAGCAACCTGTTGTTGCGACTACTTGTTGAGGTCGTAAAAAATGGATGGCGTGATGCTAATGGCATAATAAGCAAGCAGACTATAGGAGCCAAAATTGTTCCCGTGCTCAATGAAAAACTTGGGTGTCAAAAAACTCAAAATCATGTTAAGAACCGTGTGAAAACGTTGTGTCAACTTTTTAGGCATAGTTCTAGTATTTGGTTAGGACCCCGTCACAAAGAAGTTCACGGCTAGTGATGAAGTATAGGAAGGCTTCCATAGGGTGAGTTCTTTTTCTTATAGAATATATTATTTACAGTGATGATCTTTCATTTATATTGATTTTGTATTTTAACATTTATTATGTTTTTCTTTTTCGCAAGTCCCACCCAAAGAGTCAAGGTGTTCGCAAAGAGACATTTCTGGACTATGAAGATTTGATGACGTATTTGGCAATGCAACAGCTAAAGGAAATAACTCAATTGGATTGGGTGATGACACTGATGCCATAACATATATAGTCGATGAAAGTAGGCCAATCAGAGTAAACGAATTTCCTCCACCTGATGAGAGCTTTGAGCAACTTGATCCATTATTTCAAAATCCATCATATGCATCATCTTTCCTAGATGCAAATTTGGAGGGTTTCGCTCTAACACACGTACAAAAGCTACTTCCAAGGAAAATATCTCGATCTAAGTCTGAGCTAAAATCAAATGAGATCACCCCTCACATCGTTCTTATAGAAAAAGTTTCCCTTGGAATGGATTTGATTGCTGCAATTGCCACTGAAATTCAAGCAATTCATAGCATAATGGAGAAAAGAGAAAAAGATAGAGAAAAAAAGGAAAAGGAGAGAAAAGAAGAAAATAAAAACAACAATGTTTGGGATGCTTTCAAAGAGACTCCAAACTTTGATGCTCCCGTTCATTACAAAGCAATTGCATTGGTTCAACATTTGGGAATGAAAATAGAGTTCTTGAAAATGACACCAAAAGAACACTCAGAGGTGTTCGGTATCATCTTCAAGATTTTGCTGGTAATGTTCGTGACCCCGTAAATGCAAATGAGTTGTTCAATCTTCGACATGCTTCCTTGAGAAACATAATAGAGAGGATATTTGGTGTATTTAAATCTCGATTCACAATTTTGAAGTCAGCACCTCCATTTCCAATTAAAACACAAGTAGAGTTAGTGTTAGCTTGTGCATGATTGCATAAGTTTCTTTGCAAGGTGTGCCGTTTGATGAATTTCCAATTGAATCAGAAGATGATGAATCTAAAGATGAAGAAAATCATGATGAACCAGGTAATCAAACCCAAAAGCAACAACGACAGATTGCTAATGCATGGAGAGTTGGCATAGCTACAAGTATGTGGACAGATGATGTGAATGATAGGATTCAAAGATGAGAAATATAAAGGATTATTTGACTTTACGGGGTTTTTTTTGAATTTCTATTCTTATCTCTCGGATTTTAGGATGGTGGTAGAATAAAAGGCTTGAGGACCATTGGCATTTATTGAGTATGAAAAATGTTTCTTTTTCTTGCGCAAAATAACTGTTGGTAAATTTCATTAGTGATTTTATTGATCGAGGTGAGCAAAATTTGCAGGTTGGTCTCTGTTTCTTACATGTAAGTCAATTTGTTACATTTTTGTCAAGCCCGTAAGCAATGGCTGCAGCAGTTAGTTTGTTTATAATGCGCTCACATTCAAGGCCAGCAATGGCAGAAGCATTTTTGTGACTAGTGACAACCCCAATTAAAATATATTTTAATGCGTATTCATGTGCTGTGATTGGATTGTTATTTTGCTTCTTCCTTTTGCCTTCTGGGACAACCCGATTATACCAATTAATTTGGCTTTTCTTGAAATAAAATAATCACCATGACTTCATGGAAATTCAAACAAATCTCTTGAAATTCATGAATAAACTCTCTGAAGTTCTCTAAGTCCATGCAAAGATTTCTCTCACAATTCATGTGAATTCTATGAAACTTAACTCAGAATCTCTGGAAAGTGATTTTTTTTTCTTCTCAAATTCTTTCAAATTTCATGGAATTAGATTCTCTGAAACTTTCTCAAAATTCTAATTGAACACACCCCCCTAAGTCTGATTAAATCTTATAAACTGATTGAAGTCAGTTAATAAGATTAAAAAAAAAAAAAAAAATTAGATGAATGCCCTAATCATTAGACGACCTAATTGCAACAGAGCTTAAAGCATATGAATATTATTAGGGAAATTACATTTTAACACTTCAACTTTGGGTCTCATAACAATCTCATACCTTATTTTTTAAACATTACAATATTATACATCAATTTACAAGTTTGTTGCGATGACATATCTCCGTCAATGTTTCTGTTAATTTTTTAAGAAAACTAATGAAAAATGCTTTAATACTTTGAATTTTAACAAAAAAAAACCATATACTAACTTTATTTAATGATTAGGACAAAATCCAATATCAAATCAGCCCAATAAAACTGCCCAAACAAAGTAATTTATCAAATTTCTGATTTTACCCTTAACGTCAGTTTTTGCCCCTAACGACAAACCTCACTGTTGGTTCTACCTCTCCTCAGACCTCGCTGGTGCTTGCTTCAGCTCTGTGGTTTTCAACTCCATGGCTTTTTTCAACTCACAGCAAGAAAACCACCACGAAAACCTTGCTTTTCAAGTCCATGGTTTTTTTTTATATCTCAAATTCTTTTTTTTTTTTTTGCTTGATCTTATGTTTGATGGAGATGTTGAATGCAGGGTGGCTCGATAAGGTTATCTTGGGTTTGTCCTCTAAAGCTTCATAAAACTCCTCAACATCACAAACTTTTCCAAATTGCTTGAAATCAATCGGCAACATCGCCATCATCCTTCATCTGCACCAAATGCCATTCCAATTACTAAAAATGTAATTGATGGCCAATACCAAGTAATAGGTGTAATCAAATTATAAATTTTGTGTGGAATTAACAGATTTCATAGAAGAAGGAGGAGAGAAAAACAAGACATGGGAAATGAGAGCTTGCCCCGGCGTCATGGAGAAGAAACCGATGAGCGAGTATGTGAGATTGAGCCATGGCTTGTCATCGCCGAGCTCGATTTGTGCAAAGTAGAAGAGCCAGAGGTGTGTAAATTTCCCCACAAAACCCTTTATTTGTTTATGGCACGCAGAGAATCAAGCTCATCAATTTGAAGGGTTTTTTTTTTCTTTTCTATTTTTTTAAAGTTCTAAAACCATTTGTCTTGAAATTTGTACAATCCACCATCAATTTATTTTATATTATTTTCTTTGCAATTTCTCTGTGATTTGACTTCTGAATCTCAATAGATATGCTCATTGCAACTTGATCAGTTTGAAGGTATTAAATTGTCCTCATTTGTTGTAAGCGATCTCAGTTTAGCAAATTGGCAGGCAACCTGAAGGAGATTGCATGCCCCTCACTGCAGTGTGACTTGGACCGACTCATCCTATAAGAATTGCTTTACAAATTGTCATACTTACAATCAAATATGTCCCTAGCTATGCAAATTATATGTCTTTGCAATTTGTAAAATTGAAAGCCCCTGCATAAAAACCCTAAATTAATAGAGCATTCAAACAAATTAGTAAAAGATGCAAATCCTATACTTTAACATTAGAGTAAAAGTTATTTACTTATTTATCTAGCATATGAGCGCGTTGCATTTGTAATTAAAAAAAACAGTTAATTATAATTCAAAAGAATCATATTATTAAGGGAAATTTGCATCAATGTCCTCTTTAAGAAATTGTGAATATCAATGTTCAGTTTTAGAAATAGTGCAGTAGCCATGTTTATTTTTAGAAATAGTGCACTACCCTTGTTTAGTTTCAGAAAGTCAGTTTCAAAAATAGTGCACTACTCGTGTTTAGTTTCAGAAATAGTACATTAACTGTGTTTAATTTCAAAAATAGTGTAGTACTCGTGTTTAGTTTCAAAAATAGTGTAGTATCCATGTTTAGTTTCAGAAATAGTATAGTATCTATGTTTAGTTTCAAAAATAGTTTGTTCCATAAATAGTGTAGTACCGTGTTTAGTTTCATAAATAGTATAGTATCAGTGTTTAGTTTCAGAAATAATCTGTTTCATAAATAGTGTAGTATATGTATTTAGTTTCAGAAATAGTTTGTGTTCAGTTTAAGAAATAATGATAGTACCGTTTCAGTTCTAGAAGTAGTGAATGTTTGCTAGTGTTTTCATTTGATTGTCACATTCACTCTAATTGAATATTTTGTATAATAAGGCCCCCACATAAGCTTTGCATATATATTTTTTCATATATTGAGTGCACCAATCGAACTAAAAAATATTTGTTCACCCAAAATTGCACATATTCTTGGTCTAGTAATATAATTTCTTCCTAAATCAAACAACTAGCCACTGGCCAGGAGACCTTTCTAAATTTAATTCTCTCATTTTGATCACTAGTTTATAAATTAGTAAATGAGCAATTCTTACATCTCATTTAGGGATGATAATGGGGTGGATCGGGTTTGGATGTGTCATCCCCATACCCGAACCCTCTTATTGTCCCCGAACCCGAAACCGTAGAATCCCCGAATGGGTTTTCCCCATAACCGAACCCATTGGATAACGGATTTTCTATTAGGCAACAGTTTTTCCCATTATAATATTTTTATATTATTAATTAAATAGTAAATTTTAAATAAAAATTAAATAAATTACTGATACTGTCACATCCCCGCCCGGGGCGGATCACTTCCCGAGCCCGCTTCACCACCGTAGCACGATATTGTCCGCTTTGGGCTTACCATTCCCTCACGGTTTTGTTTTTGGGAACTCACGAGCAACTTCCCAGTGGGTCACCCATCATGGGATTGCTCTAGCCCCTTTCTCGCTTAACTTCGGAGTTCCTACGGAACCCGAAGCCAATGAGCTCCCAAAAGGCCTCGTGCTAGGTAGGGATAAGAATATACATTTAAGGATCACTCCCTTGGGCGATGTGGGATGTTACAATCCACCCCCCTTAGGGGCCCGACGTCCTCGTTGGCACACACGCGACCAGGGTTAGGCTCTGATACCAAATTGTTACATCCCGGCTCGGGGTGGACCACTTCCCGGGCCTGCTCCACCACCGTAGCACGATATTGTCCGCTTTGGGCTTACCATTCCCTCACAGTTTTATTTTTGGGAACTCACGAGCAACTTCCCAGTGGGTCACCCATCATGGGATTGCTCTAGCCCCTTTCTCGCTTAACTTCGGAGTTCCTACGGAACCCGAAGCCAGTGAGCTCCCAAAAGGCCTCGTGCTAGGTAGGGATGGGAATATACATTTAAGGATCACTCCCTTAGGCGATGTGGGATGTTACAGATACAATGCATATACAGCATATGTTAAATAAGATTAAATATTAAATACTAAATAGTGTTATTAATACAATTGATACAAACAATGCATGTGATAAATATTGTTAAAAACGAGATTAATACTATTAATAATTGATAAGAATATAATTTATATTATTAATGATTATTGATAACTTTCTTCTCTATATAATAAATATTGATATTTTTTTTATTAATTCAAAACAATTCGGTTTCGGGCATGGGTTTGGGGCGGATACCCTAATAAGCATAACCAAATCCGATACCGAAAAATTTACCCAACGGTTACCCATAACCGTAAAATACCCAAAATTTAATCCCCAAAACCGAACCATTCGGATCGGTTACCTACGGGGAACGGGTTTTGTCACTTCCCGGGCCCAACTCCACCATAGCACAATATTGTCCGCTTTAGGCTTACCATTCCCTCACGGTTTTGTTTTTTGGGAACTCACGAGCAACTTCCCAGTGGGTCACCCATCATGGGATTGCTCTAGCCCCCTTCTCGCTTAACTTCTGAGTTCCCATGGAACCCGAAGCCAGTGAGCTCTCAAAAGGCTTCGTGCTAGGTAGGGATAGGAATATACATATAAGGATCACTCCCCTGGGCGATGTGGGATATCACAATCCACACCCCTTAGACCAACTCCAATGGTGGGCTAAAAGCTAAATTACCCCCCAAAATTTCCCCCCAAACGCACTCCAACCCAAGGGGAAATTTTGAGCTAAATGCTAAATGCTAAACCAATGTCAAATTCCCCCCGAAATTTAGCCCAGAAATCAGGGTGAACTCTACCCAATATTTATCGGAATTTAAATTTTTTTAGATTAAAATGTTCATAAAATTAATTTACGATAGTCTACATATTTATTTATTTTAAAATTTAATTTAACAAAAAAAATAGCCTAAATGTATTCTTTAATAATCTCGGGCTAAAATTTTAAGGTAGAATGGTTGGAGTAGAAAAGCTATTTTTGGGCTAAAAGCTAAATTTTTCGGGCTAAAAATTTTGACTTTTAGCCCAACCATTGGAGATGGTCTTAGGGGCCCGACTTTCTCGTTGGCACACCACGGCCAGGGTTAGGCTCTAATACCAAATTGTCACATCCCGACCCGGGCGGGACCACTTCCTGGGCCCAACTCCACTATAGCACGATATTGTCTACTTTGGGCTTACCATTCCCTCACGGTTTTGTTTTTTGGGAACTCACGAGCAACGTCCCAGTGGGTCACCCATCATGAGATTGCTCTAACCCCCTTTTTGCTTAACTTCAGAGTTCCCATGGAACCCGAAGCCAGTGAGGTTTCAAAAGGCCTCGTGTTAGGTAGGGATGAGAATATACATATAAGGATCACTCCCCTGGGCGATGTGGGATATCACAGGTTTGACGGGTCAAATTGCCATCCCAATTCTCATTTTAGTTCCTCTAATTTCATTTGTAAATTTTTATGCACACCATAAATGTAGTTGAAGCTACTCACAAGCCCCACAAGACATAACATGGGCCAATTGAAAGATATAATCAATTGTCACTCAGTACGACGGTCTGGTGGTATTTATCTAATTAGGTTTGAATCTTGTGGATGGTGAATTCGATACTAAATTAGGCTACCCATTGTGTAGCTTTGCCAAACTCCCCCTCCCCATAGTGTAAAAATATCGATGTACTAAAAAAACATAATCAATTTAATTTTAAGTATATATGATTAATGTTCAGCAAGTAAAAGAGTATATGGCTATGGAGACAAAGGAGGAATATGTAATTGAGCTTGACTGGCTCCATCAGTCCAATTTAATTAGTATAGTATCTTTATATATAAAGCCAACAACCCCTTTTGAGGTCATAAGCTTCACCAAAAAGTTTTAGCCAAAAACGCCCCAAAACAAAAATATTCAAAAGCAACCCAAAATAATGCACCAAATAATGCAGGGGTAATTTTGTCATTTTAATAGTGCTTTTTAATAATTAATTCTTTTTGTACAGTTTTTTTTTTTAATTAGTACATCACAATGGACTAGTAATGATGTGATTCAATCAATTGTTCATTAAATATTATTTTCTCTATTTTAAATATGTTCAAAACATCTTAAGAGACGTCTAATGCCGGTTATAAAAATAAAAAAAATTAAAAAATAAAAAAGTCTTTCGCACGCACATAATAATGTAATTAAATTAGCTGTCAAATGATTTTTTTTTTGAACAAATGATATTATCTACACTAAGGGGGCGGGGTGGGCTTAGCCTCACAATAAGCTAGCAATAATGTGATTCAATCAGTTGTTTATTAAATATCATTTCTCTATTCTTAATGTAAATTCAATATAATGTAGATAAAAACTGAAAGACCGATTTTATTATGTGAATTCAGCTGCTTTAATTGGTTTGTGAGGGGTTTTTTCTAGCATGATCTAAGATTATTTATTTACTTCAAATATTTTTTCCTTTTGTCAATTCACGCATATTTAAAACGTGTAAATTGCGAGTAGCTTGCCGTAATTCAAAAAATGCCTCATGCACGCGCGTGAGCACATGCATGAAGGCTAGTATCATATAAGATGGGAAAGAAAGAAGGAGTTCTCACATGTCACATCACACGCATTTGAACCAAAAAATTGCAAACTTTCTACTGCCTCGACGAGCCACGTGTATTCTACTTCCTCCATCAATTCCCATTAGATTTCACCATTAAAATAATTAAAAATATAAATTTTAATATAAAATAATATTTTCTCTCTCTTCATCGACCTTTGTAGCTCTCAAAATATCATGAATTGAGAAAACTTTTTGCTAGTTGACAGACAAATCAAGAGGAATTGGACTGATGGACGGAATTGAGCTTCTGTCGGGGGTATAGGCAGGAAAGAAAAAAAAAACATTGTTTTGCACATGAGCTTGTTTTCTAATTATGAGTTTTAGTTTTTGTTCTTATTATTTTGTATTTGGTGTAAACATTCCTAGTCTAAGTATGATTATGTAAATTCTAAATTAGATTTGATTTTAGTTATCCTTTCCTATTGTATCTTATATTCTTTGGGGATGAAGGAATATCTTCTCTCCCTTTACTACTATAAATAAAGGCATAATATAGGAGGGATAACAACACACACATTCCCCTACAATTCTACAAACACATCTCTCTCTCTCTTCTCCTTGTCGCCGGCCCTCTCTCTCCTTGTCAGATAAAATAGACCACAACACGTTATCAGCACGCTTCTACCGTTGCGTTTAGGAATCTGACGTTAGAGATTTTTCTGCATCAAACCAATTCATCCATATCATCACACAATCAGGTCATTTCAAAACAACGGTTTTTAACTCAATATTTTTGCAACCTGGTAGCAAGAACATTCACCATGTTGCATGACCCAACTTT